CATTTGGTCAAAAAGTGAAAAAAATTAAAAATCACGCCCCGAGGGCTAGTTCACGCTTATTATGACTCGCGGGGGCCTCCGTAACTCAGATCCATTTACCTTTCACTGGAATTTTCATTATTGCGTGAATGGTGAATTTTTTTTGGAAATTTTCCATGTGCCATTTGGTCAAAACGTGAAAAAAATTAAAAATCACGCCCTTTTTGGCGATGTTTTGCACTGATAAATGGCTTCAACAAAGAAGGCATTTTTGGTCGACGTAATAGCACCTTTTTGGCGATGTTTTTAAAGTAACGAGTGACACAAGATGGGAGGTGGAGATTTTAGTTCGACCTGATGGCGACTCTTTGGCGATATTTTTCACTAATTAATGGCTTCAAGCATTTTTGTTCGATGTAATAGCGATTTTTTTGTGATGATGTACTAAATCTTTACATATACTACTGCCATCTCTTGGTCTTTAACAGCAAATAATTGAGTCGATAAAGAAGACTGAGATCAAATAACAGTAACGCCTTACCATCTACAATTCACTGTTGTGGCCAATTGACGTGTGGTCAGTTGACTGTGTTCAGCTGCACCCATCCCATCCCCTCACAGTGGTTCAATTATTTGAAGATATTTACCTTATCGACAACCCAACAAGCAGATCAGAGTGGCCCGCCATTTGTAAAATCGATTCTACAAACAAGCGTCTTCTACTTTCAGCTGTACATACACTCTCCTTGTCTCACCCTCAAGAACTTTCAAATTATCCCTAGGCAAAGATCTTCTTCTAGACTCATTGGAACAATTAAATATTTTATTCTTATTATTTTTGTTGTATTTAGTTTGACTGGGTACGTGAAAATGTGATAATATTTTCGACTCTTATCCGACATTTTTCGAATATTCCAACGATTGAACAATCCACTCAGGTAAAATTCATTGAAGAGAGATGCAGAATGTACGTTTGACAAACGAGTTTGAACCTGTTGGGACTTGTCGTCGTAGTGATAAAAAATCCATGAAGACTTTTTGGCAGCAAAAATTGGTACAAACTGCAGGTACATGTAATTTAATTAAATAATCACTTAAATCGAGGATATAAAATGTCAGGAGATAATTTTGGCTCCTTTTGATGGATTATTACAAGATTGCTTATGAAAATATTCATCAGTGCAATTTTCATAATTACAGGTTTTTTGGTTCAATGTTTATTTCTTCATTTTTTTTTCTAGATATCCTTTTATAATTGAAATTACATGATTTTTTTAAGAAGAAGTGAAAATGAATGTGACCTCGTTAATTATTGTGACTTGTGTGTTGAAATGCATTCAAGCTTCGTCAATTTTTAATTGGATATGGAATAAACCACATTCCCCTGAGGATTCCAATGGTCTAGCTGTTGATGGTATATCAATATCAATTCCCTACGAGTCAATGACAGACGATGAGAAATTTCTTCAGGAGGTGGCAAAATTAACACACATTCAGCTCTCATCACCCCTCCAGCTTTGCCAGCACAGGGTTATTATGAAAATACAGAATTCCTGCAGTACATTAACTGAAGAAGAGCTCGCTAAGCTCGGCGTCAATCTGTTGAATTGTCAGTCGGCTGTAGAGGGGAGAAAAATCTTTCCCTGCAGTGAAGATATGGTATGGTATAGAAATCAAGAAATTGTTTTTGTTTGGAGGGGTATTTTTTTCATACACATACGTGTTCCAACTTGCAACTTGTACAGATCTCCCATGCTGAGTGGCTACAAAACGACCTCCTCTGTGATTTATTATTTATCCCCAGACTAACTCCACTTGTAGAAAGTCACTCTTTGGGGACTAGTTTAGTCAATTTTTATATGATTACATAATTATATTTTGCAATTAATTGCAATTTTTTTTTCAGTCACTTAAACAATGCACAACGGATATGGATGCTGATATGTGGAATGCTTATCACTTGATGAGCAATAGAGCAAGAGCTGTTTGTTATGCAGCACGTAATGTTCAGTTTAGAGCACTCACTGAATTGACAATTAACAAACTCATGAATAGTGCACAGTCGCAAATTCAGGCTCTCAGTTCTTTGAAGGTTGTGTTTCGTCATATTTTCTCTTTTTTTCAAGTTTTTAATCTTCATCAATGTGAAAAAAATATTGAATAATTCGCACCATTCAGGAAAGTCACGAGCGATTAGAATTACATACTATTGAGGCATTCTCGTCATTATCAAGTGGGAATAAAATTCTCTTGGAACAGCAGAAGCATCTGGAAAATGCACAATCCATAGCCCACAAATTGGTTACAAATAATCTTCGTCAATTGACAAACGAGAAGGCTTTAATGCGAAGTGGACACACTCTGTTGGCTTCTATAACTAGAGATATTGAAAGACGTTTGGGTATGGATTATTATTTTTATAGTTTTTTTTTATTTCTTTCAATATGATAATAGCTTTAATTTTGTATAACAATTGAAATAATAAGCATGGAATATAAAATATTTCTCATAGAAAAAACAAATCGAGAACTCATGGATCAAGCTTTAGAGCACCAAGAGCATCATCAAGAACTGCTCAAGGACCTGATGAATATTCGCAAAGAATCCCAGTTAATTTGGGATAAAATTGAACACAGTACAAATCGAATAGTGGATCAAAACGCCGATGTTGTGGCGCAGTATGACCAGACATTGGAAAAATTAGAAAAAATAAATGATACTGTTTATTTTATTTGGAATGTAACCAAATCGATGCGGCACGAAATTGATGAGAAATTGGGCTGGATTACTGATTATATTGGAAAGACCAGTACATACCCAATAATTTACCGATTGATTATTGATTGAATCTATTAAACTCAGAGAATTAATTTTTGCAGGCGAACAATTGCATAAAATTTATCGGATATCACTCCATATTATTTATTTGCTAGCAGCGATGGTTGTTGCTGCCTTTCTCAATGCTCCCTTCCTAACGAGAGCCACAATTATAGGGCTGATTCCCCTAAATATAATGACATTTTTAAAACACGGAATATACGCCTGCCTCGATTTTACATCCATTACAATTTTAATTTTCTTCATTACAGCAAGTACGTTTTTTTTTTTTTGTTGTTTGTTGCAATTAGTATATTAGTATTTATTCTCAAAATTATACCCTTTTTCATTATTTTCACAACTGATTTTAGTGCATTATGTTATGCTTGGGATTCAGCAGTTACTTATAACGGATATAAAAATGAAAAAACTCCCTCAAGAAATTAATATCATAAACTGCAACGCATATGGGGAATCAACACCTGCAACTGGAATAGTTTCAATCACAATACGCCGTAGTGCTCGATTCATGAAAAGTGTTCATAATATATATCAAATTATCATTCATCAGCTCATTCATTTGAAAGGTAATATACATTTCTTCTATTTGGAATATCTAACAATCGCCAATCCAAAAATAAAATCAAGCAGACATGGAAGATAATGATCATTACAAAATGGCGGCCTGGTTGTGTTATCATTTCGACGGTATCTAGATTTTTGCCTCAATAAACGATTAACTTTCCATATATTCACTTAGCAGTTGAGTGTTATATTTCTTTTTAGAAAAATGTCAGCTCATGCTGCAATCTCCATTTTTCTGGTATCACACAAATACAAATCCAGTTGAAGAACTTTCATGTTCCTATCTTCCATCAAACATACATCGCGAGGATCTTATTACCCATTATACACCACAGCAAGATTCCACTTGGTTATCCGACAACACAGGTCATTCGTCTTCAGGCTGTAGTGATGGGATTTACCCTGATTTATCAAATTGGCAAAATGAGAACGAATTGAGACATCGTTCTTTGTTCACTCGCCACTCACCAATCAGTTATTCCAGTGTACGCCCAACCGAAAGGTATATAATCAATCAAAGAGTATAAAATTAATTATTTGTGTATATTCAGTTCTAATGCATAGAAAAGAAAATTTTTTTATACTGTGTATTGCAGTGTTAGGCCTGATGGATCTGATTATGCTGCCTCACCACCAATGCTATGCAGTGCTTTGACAAAGACGGGTGCGAAATGTCGTTCACGCGCGCAGCCAGGCCAAAATTTTTGCGCTCGCAAGTGTCACGGCTCATCCATCATGAGTGATTAAATCACTCTCATCGTGTAATACATTTTCCTTTTTTTTTTGTCTTATGGCTGGGGAAAAATCACATAAATATAAAAACATTCGTATAGCCTATAAGGAAATTAGATCGGATTGGATAAGATGTGTATCCAATAAATTTTCATTAATTTATTAAATAAGGAATTTGTAGACCAAATTTTTTACTCATATATCGTAAATTATTTCTCATATTATTTTACATTTTCAAACTGTAGACAATAATGAAGCCAATTTTTGAATTATAACAACATGTGATGGTTTCTGGATTTTCCTATATTTTACCAAGAAGAAATTTTATATTTATTTGTACTTGATCAGAAAATATTTGAATGGAAAATTTACCGATAAATTGTGTTCCAAGTAAGTAAGACGGTTTGAATCCACTACAAACAGTTATTCCCATCGAGTACTCATCCCCTCGAAATTTTATCAAACGTTGCCGTTATTCGAGTATAAAGTGAAAGAAACGCAGTTCACTGACAATTACCAGTGCAAGCAGGGGATGTCAAGGGAAATACTTGCCGGTTCGGGTTGCATACAAACATAGAAGAGAGAGGAGAGAAAGACAGAAAAAACGAAGAAGATGTCGTCACGCTACTTCTTCAGTTTCCTCCCAATACCCTACAATCTTTAGTTATTTTTGGTGCTTGAAAACTTCGTAACCGATGGAGGTAACATTCTCATGATGATTATTTTAAAACTGAAAAGTAAAATAAAAAAAAAAAGCGATTCAGCACAGAGAACTGGAAAAATTATAACTCCAAAGTTTCTCTGGTTTTTGTCGGCGACTTGAAGAATCTAGAGAAGAATCTGTGATCTTTCGGCAATGCGTGAGAAGAAAATAAAAAAAATTCTAGAGAATACTGGGTCAGACAAGTCGATTCCGCGAATATGGGTCAAGTCGCGTATAGTAATGAATGAAAGCAGTGTTTTTAATTTGAGTTATATATCCGACTAATATTTAATTTCTTTTCTCTGTTCTTTTTCTCTTTTGAATGACCAAATTTGATTGGGTTTTTTTCCTATTTGTGTTTGTTTTTTTTTTTTTTTTTCGTTTTTCATTGTAACGTGGGAGTAACTTGAGCAAGGACAAATCACAAGAGTACTGAAAAAAAAAGATAATGAGTGCGACAAAAGGAGGAAAAGATGAATGGTGCGAAGAGTATGACAAGTAAGAGAAGGAAGTGACCCAAGACGTCATGTGAACCGGATTTAACCAGCAGCTGTGCTATGTTCTACACACATATGCTTATATTTGTGTGTAGTTTTTGGTTTATTGCAAATATTGTGGCATATAAAAAATACTGTACAATGATTTTTGGAAAATCGGACAAAAAAAATTTGATAGGAATGGAAGAGAAAATTCACAATATGGAACAAACTTAATGTACATCTTAACTATATACAGGTATATACATATAATTATTTACAATACCACTATATCTACGGGTAATACTAGTTGTGTAAATTTTTCATTCTTCTGTTTTCTAAATAAATTATTGCAACATCCGACCTTATTCCCATTATTATGTTTAATATAAAAATAATTTTAGTAACTAATTTCGTTGATAAGATGGAAATGTATACTATTTGATGCTGCAGGAGATTGAAAAAATTGCAATGGATTTTCTATTATTTGCCTCACAGAAGCTCATACATAATAAAAATACTTGATATCTTTGGTAGATCAACTGCATGATTCAAGGCGTTTCGAGGCACTTGACAAAGATAAATAATTAATAAACAAGAAAAAAAAGCATGAAAAAAACGAATTGTTCAAAATTGGGAATAAATAGTAAGCTTCCTCGTAAGCTCCGTCACAAAACACAACTACTTTTTGCGTTTGATCTCTTTTTTTTTTAACCTAATTAATGGAATTCATTGTTTTGTCGAAAACAATAATTTTTTCTTGCATATTATTTTCATTAATTATAAATTTCACTGTATTAATAGAAAGCGCATAAGAAATTGCATTGCGCAATTTTTAATTCATGCTTGTTCCATTAAACTCAATGATGAACTCGAATTTAAAATATTCACACGATTCTCTCACACTCAGATCTTGAAGATTGAGGCGACTGAGGTTGAAAAAAAGCGACCAGAGAATAACGAAAAATATATATATATATGAATACCAAAACCTCGTGAGAGTTGAGACAGAGGGGAAATGGAGACGACCGTCCGACCGATACTGCAAGGCAGTCATCTTGGGAAAAAATAATATTTTGCCCACAAGATATATAACCGTCTGCACCATCTCCTGTTTCTGTTTGATTTTTTCTCCTTTTTTTTTTTGTGACATTCCTATGATAATTTAAACTAAAATGCATCTTCTTTCTCTTCTCAGTTAGTTTCTCATCCCTTCTTCTTTTTTTCTTGATTTACAACAAGGATGTTCCACTCAATGACTTTGGAAAAGCCCCGGAATAATCATGTCTATTGTTATTGAGTGTCCGGGTACACCAGTAACGGCTAATTTCCCCACTGCATTGGGGAATGACCCACGATTCTTTCAACTTCACCACTCCATTTAACAATAGGAAGGTCTTATTTGAAATAGCAATTTTTATATTTTCGATCCAGCGAAAATAAAAAAATGCATATGATATTGAGATGGGCGCAAATACTTATTTAGAGATTGGCATTCCATTCACTTTCCACTCGCCACATACTGAAGGCGTGCGAAAGCCGTTCGTGAATAACGTAGCTGCATGATGTCGAGCCTCCTCCGATCGTTTGACCTATCAACAAGAAAAATCTGAAATTAAATGACAATTTGAGAAAATTTTACAATCATCACAATAGTTGCCAGCTATTTCACAGTGGAACTACGTACTGAATAATATTATTTTGATTTTCTCATTTTTTATATGTTTGTCGACGTGGGAATGCGCAACCCATTATCAACGAAATTCTGAATGATTTATCAATATGAATAAATGTAAGAAACGTAAAAGACTATAAAGCACATAACATTATGTAACTGATGAATTAATTATTTCGAGGTTTGAATGAAAAAAAAAAATCAATATTAAAATAAGATTCTTACTGTTTTCATCTATATTGCACCGGTTTTCGATTGCTTCAATGGGACAACGTGCGATTAATTGATTGAGAAAGTCAATGTATCGCGTGGCGAGCCTTAATGTTTGAATCTTGCTCAATTTATCACTTGGGAGAGTTGGTATGATTTTTCTCAAATTTGTAAATGCTTCATTCAAACTCTGCGTTCTCTGTCTCTCTCTTACATTCGCCATAACTCGTTGAGTCTGAAGTTCTTCAAAACTTCCAGGATTTTTACGTCGTACTTTAGTCTTAGATCCTATTGAGGATGGAATGCTCTCACATTCAGAATCATTTCCATTATTGTAACTAATTTTCCTTTTCCTCTTTCCATTGATTTTTTGGACATTGTTGACATTATAATTTCTCGTTGTGAGTGAAGGATCCCCTCCACTGGACGAAAATTGTGAATCCCGTGTGAGCTCCTCTTGAATACACCGGGATGGATTCAAATGAAATTCCGTGTGAATTGTTGGTTTATATTCAATTGGAGATTCACTTGTTGGCTCGAATATGGTTAATCTTGATGATTGACTGGAGTTGATTTTCGCCCCCTTTGCGCCTGGCGAATGATAAATATCTGATGTTGGTGATGAAGCGGGAAGATAAATGTTGTGCTCATTCTCTCGGCTATGCTCAGAGAGAAAACTTGGAGAATTTCTATTGTAATCGAATGGGGAGAGATCTTTCTTATATGGATTGAATTTTTCCTCAGATTGTTGAGCATGGTGAAATCTTTTATCTTCATCATAATTTTCGTAAAATTGATAATTGTTGACAAGTGGTTGATATCCTTGAAGTGTATGTTGAGAGTGGGTAAAATCTGGGAGAGCTCGGTGCTCCGACGGACTACTTAGGTCCATTAAATTACTCGGTGAATAACGCTCGTAATGATTCGGTGAATTGCTGGCTGAACTACCCGCGCTATGAGGAATACCAGAACTATCAGCAAGAACATATATATTTTGAATGCCCATTTGAGCTGGAACATTTTGGTGCGCTTGCATCATGCCGACGATATTAATGCCTCTGTCACTTATTTATATCACTTTTACAAACAAACACTTATTTCATCCGAATTTATTTATATGTAGGAGAAAAGATGACGATGATATTGAATTGAAATTGAAAAAATAAATAATTGAATAAATTTGCACTTGTGAATGAGATGACTGAATCCGAATCCGATTGTGTATTGTCTTACTATGCTTGTTCGGTACCAGATTCTGGACTCAACTGTGCAGCTCATCGTTTTGGGCTAGGTATCCATCGACATGACAGGGAGATGCTCCATCGCGTCGAACCCGCCTCCTTGCCTCAACGCTTTAAGCCCCACCCCGGCATTTTCTTTTATCCCCGGTCACTGTCAGCGCGTTACCACCCACCCACGCCACTATACCACTACACCACCTAAGCATCCCGCCAGTCTGGTGCCCCGACAGCCTCAAAACGAGACGGCCACCACCGATGTCTATCAATTGTTGCTTCCCACTCCAAACTCAAAGAGATGCATCTTCTAGCACGCCCATATATTATTAAATCCTCTTTCAAATATGTACAACAATTCTACTGTTTGCTTTCTGCTTTTTTTTATAACACTTACAAATTAAAAGAAAATTTTTCGATATTAAGATAATTTTTCGGTATAATGAAAATTTTCGCTTTGATCAGTCCAGCCGTAATGATCGTTATTTATCTATGCTGGAGCCGGATTGAAAATTTCATAATTTCATATTGGACGCGCTCTCTCCAACTCCTTTTACCTGTCAATTAGTTCAATTATCCTTATTTATAGAATTTTTACATTTTCATTTTTCTTCTTATCATTCTTCTAGAGGAATGAGTTTATTTATTAAAATATATATAATAAAATATTTGGGGAAAATTTTTTCTTTCAAGTCCAGGTAATTTTCATGGGACTCGTCCCCAGGGCGGGTAAATGGGCCACCAGCAAGGCAATTAGTACCTGGGCGGAAGGTGGATGCAATAAAAGGGGGGCGCCGGTGATTACCCCGACACTCTTGGGGAATTCCCAAAAAGTTTCTTGTATGCAGGAGGAAATCCGCAATGAGAGATTCCCCCTTGAATTTCCTATAGAATTTTCAACTTGATATATAATATTTGCCTCATTTATTCACTGGAACATAAATGTAAATATACTCGTAGAGTAGAAAAAAAGAAAACATGTCATCTTATGGATTGAACATTTGGCTAGTACAGCTTATTCTGTAGACCTGAGAAACTGCTCACCATGTGTTGGACACACGGCAGCAATGGGACCTCCATAGGTATACTATAAGATTGCTATATCCTCGCCCCATGCGCACATCGACTTGAACGTGTCTACCACTTGCGAGACAGGGCCTTATTTGCCACTTTCCAACATGTGTCTCACCCGTAACTTTTATGTGTTTACAGCACCGAGCGCCCAAAAATTTTCATTTACAACCGTTTCAACTTTTGCACATGTGTTCAACGGGAAAAAACTCTCACCACTCCCTTCTTTTATACATGTATATACAAAAAATGATAAAAATTAAAAATTAAACATTTTAGAACATAGAACATAGACCTTTATTTTTATTACGAATTTCTCGTAGAATACCTCTCAATTTATTTTCACGACAATTGGCCCTAATATAGGAGTATGACGGGGGATTCCGACCCAGGCGGACGCTTTGGCGGTCGGCTCACGTGTTCTCCATTGGAGAAGTGATTAAATCGTTGCCGAAAATTACAAATGAGTGAACAATTAGTGAATAATTATCGATTATGACGATTGTGAGATGAAATTAGTGCTCCTTGTGGTAAAATAGCAATGTCAGGATAAGATCAGACAAGTCAACGAGGAATTCTCTTGTTTTATCTAACATCCCGTAACGAGCAATGGTGAGGGCTCTTGTCTAACTCGAGAAGCTTTGTTCAACTGAAAGTGGGTGGAATTATCCAGTAGATGGTGGATTATATCTTTATAAAATTTATATGAACAGACTATATAATAATAGTACTGCTTCGGTTCATCTTATCCAAAACTAAAGGATCAAGATATTGACTAGTGTTCATCTACTGGTTAGCTTAAACTCGCTGATTTTTTTCCAAGTCGCTGTATCACTGACGCCAAAAAAAAAAAAAAGGGGGAAAGAAACTAATCGTTCATTGGGTGTGTATGAAATTGGGGGGTATACAAGAAATGAGAAAGCATGAATGGACGCACTAAGACGTGAGTATAGAATGAGTTCAAATAGAAAAGTAGTCTACTGATTGTTTTCAACGCAAACATTTTTACAACGAATTTATTCTGCCATCCCTCTGCGATTATCGCGTTTGACTTCTGGCACAATCCGGCTTAACTGAAGATTTACCGGAGTTTTCCAAGCAGCTACTGTTAACGTACCGCGCCCTGTTCATTTATTTGGGTTTGGGATAAGCTCGAGTTAACAAACTGGTTCAGATACTTCTTCATTATTTCGCATTGTGCATCGATTTAAAGAGACAAATAAATATTAACAAATAACGAGTATTACAGAGTTGTCGTTGCTTCCGTGAAAAAATGGATAGTAAATTTCATGTCGGGTGGAGATCACGAAAAAAAAAAAAACCAAAAAGAAGGTTGGGGGGGAAAAGGGGTGTTGTCCTGAGCGGGAAAAGGATTCATGGGTGCAATGATATTTTGTCGGGAAGGCGAGAGCCAAGGAACAAGGACTAGGCAAGTGCTACCTGTCTATTAACCTAGGGTTTATAGGGGCTGCATAGCCATCCTGTCGGCCAGATTTTGCCACTCCTGGCCACCATATGTGCACCATGCTTCGCGCGGAATTTGACCAACACGTGATGGTCGCCAAATGGTACGAGTGGACCTTTAATGATATTCTAGTCACGTCGTGTAATTCACATTGACGGCTGACACCATCTTTCTTTTCTTTTTCCCTACCGCCGGTGATAAAAAAATCATTATTGCCTTATTGATAAAAAAAAAAAAAATACATTAAAGTACAAGGGCATATATTCATTTTCAACGTATGTGAAGCTTACAAGCCAAGCTGAAGGCGATGTCTGTACCCACATTCATTGAAAACTACATTTATTCCCGAGTTCTCTACCTACTATTTTGAGTCAAGTTGTGTGATAAACTCGACTTATTGCACGCCGCGATATAAAATGTGCTGAATAATTATTTTCTTTGATTTTGTCTTAATTTGTTGATGATAATTGTCCATTTCGATTATTCATTAGAGCGCATTAATTATTCAACCACTCTAAATATGAATTTCAATATTGAAAAGGAAAAAAATTTGATTGTCATTGCGGTAGAACATCGAGAAGGAGGAATAATTGGAGAATAACTGTGCTGGTACTTGGTCGCTCGTGTGCAGCTAGGTAATGTCGTATATCTGCCACCCGCTATACATTTTGAGGACCCACTTGGGCGGATTATACAGACTTTATTGGCTGGGTAATCCATAGGAGAGTAACCATAGCTGGTTGACGTATTTCCCCATCGTCGCCTCTTTCTACTCATATTATTTCAACCACCTCCGACCCCAACGGTACAAACCAAATAGCCCTTTTAACTCAAGCCAGATTTACAAATGTTTTTTTTTTCAATTCCAATTGTTTGGCAAACAATTGTTCAACCACTTAATTGAAATTCATTTAAGAAATTAAATTCATAGTCAAATCCACTAAGATCCAAGTGATAAATTGTAATAAGGATATATTTGAACGAGTTTGAGATGTCCCGGGGTAGAGGTATATAATTCAGAAACAACTATTGTCGTAGACAATTGCCCAGAGATATGACTTACCTTGTGTTCATCCTATTCTATGTGGTTATTAAAATAACAAAAAAGGGACATGATTATTATACATATTAGAATGTCACACGTCCCTGTGATTTTCATAAAAAGAGTATAAGGAGAGTATGAGGAGAGGTAAGATTAAGATTAAGATTTTATGGAAAATTGATAGTCAATGCGGTAGCTTGCACTCGTCTAATCCTCTTTTCAACTTTTTTCTCTGTAGAAAAAAGTACAAAAGACGTAAAAAAGGAAAAGATAGAATCGAATAAACATTCCAACGAAAAGCTTTCACCGCATTTCCGCTGTCGTCTTGGTTGTATATTGTTTCAATCCACATGCGTATTATTCAATCGTTTAACACAAGGAAATTGTCTAAATGTCTTGACATGTAATTTTTTTTTTTTAATTATTCTCGCTGAAACATGTGCGCACCAGAATGACTGCATAAAGATCAAAACTGGAGTCTCGTACGTGTAATAGTGAATTTATTATGACTGTTAACCTCTTATGCCGTTAATGGGAGTAAAACCTATACAATCAACGAATTACCTATTTGAAAATTATATGGAAAACGTTATTAATTTGCTCGAAAATATATAGTTTCACATACTGTTTTTATACAATGTGAAGAAGTAGAGTCATCTTTTATATTTTATTATTATTCATTCCTACTGTTCGGCTACTGTTCGGAAAGACAAAGGGCTCAAGTTTGGAGAACTGAACAAGAGCCGTGAAATATTCAATTCATTAAGTCACAAGGAACCACAATGAGATAGATAAAGAGGAAGCAAATGATATATACTCGATTCATCATTCGATGAATTAATATCGCAGATATTTTTTGATCAAATAAAAATGAGAAGACAATGGAAAAATGTTGTACTCTTAAAAGAAAACCAAATGTTCTTAATGATAGACGTTTGTGTGAAAAGACCCCTGCTGAGGTTATTCGGGCCTCAACTGGCGACAAATGTGTGAGGCCCGTTTTTTTTTTCTTCTCCTCTCGAGTATGGACCCTCATGCATACAGCTCCCTCTCAGTTCAAGGCTTTTTGAACATAAATTCTTGGAACATACACTCTGAAAAGAAAGAGAGAGAGAGAGAGAGAGAGAGAGAGAGAGTAAGGCTAATAGAGTAAGGGCAGAGGGGCGGGGAAGACGGATATGTAGAACTCCGCAAATTCTCAAAGGATGCAACACTATTCGTATAACGGGTATATAATACTGAAAGAGATTTGCCGGTAATTAGGAAAATCAAGATACACTAAGATATAATATACTCTCTTACCAGGCTAATCAAAAATTCTCTGCCATTCATTATATTAACAGTAGTATTTGCTATTTTTTTTATTAACATGGTTTTAAATTTTTTATTTATTCTCATAATAGATATGAAATTGGCTGTCTATAATGTGATGCCGTATATTACTCAAAAATAATATCAAATAAAATTTTTTTCTCTATGAAAATATCCTCTTGTCTTCTTCAGCCATTTTGCCAGCCGTTTTCATACCAGCGAATTGGATGCTGTGGAATATCGCTTAACACTGGATTGGTGCAACTTCAGAGCAGGTATCTAGCAGGTGAATGAGCATGACTCCGCCCCTCTTCGTAGCTACAAGTACTCTTCTTAGTAAAACAATGTGGTTATTCGTATTTTTCATCGAGTTTCGATATAATTAAGAGTAGAACAAGCCGAATCGTTATGTAAAAAAATATTTCAGTTGTACGCTTGTAAGTCTTGACATTGATTTTCACTTTATGTTGTGGAATATTGCTCCGGAATGGATGCTTGAAGTAGAGGCGTGGCCGTTGCGGTGTCCTCGATCCTTGAAACGTCAGTAATGTTATGTGACGCATTTCCGGCTCCATTTGGTAGACAATTTAATTATATTTTTTCAATTATTTTCAATGTGCAGGTGAAAAACATAATATTCGATACTATTGAGGCATTAATTTTGACTTGAGCCAAATGAAAATGAGTGAAATAGGTTGAAAAAAAAAAAAAATGACACATCTATGGTGCTTTACGTTCTTCATAAATCTTTCTCTACACTTTTGGCGCGCGACTGTTTTCTAAAATGTGCGCGGGTTATTACCACGCTACAGAAATAGATTTTTTTTTAAAGTTTTTTGTTATAAGTGTATACATATATATGCCTGGCAGCTCTCACTAGAACCATTGAGCGGCGGGTAAGAGTTTCTTATCGGCCATAAATCAAGTAGAAAGTGTTTCTCATACTTCCGTTGAGCGAAGGAATTTTCCATTTTTCACATTTATTTTTCCGCGAGAGAAACATTTATATGAAAAAGTTGAAGAAAAAGAATGGCATTTTTGTGTTAACTTTTTGTTTGTATTTTTCAATGATAAATGTGAGCGAAATAAGGGTGGGATCATGGAAAAATATTGTTTTGGTGCACTCACGGATACAATATATTTTGTTCTAGCGATGTGTGAATAGAAATATGGACTTACCCTCCTTGGTAGATATCTCTGGTCTTTGCCTTTCAATTTACCGTTTCTTTCAAGTGCGTTTCACTTATGTAGCAAGTTTTGACAATAATCTTATCGACTCAACAGCTGTATAATTTATTATTAAAACTGGTACATTGATGGATGCGCATCAAGGCTTTGTAAATATTTATTTTTTTAAATTTCAAAGAGTTAATAATTTGGTCAATTAAATATACATTCAACGAGAATTTCAGGAAAACAATGAAAATGCTAAAAACGTGCTTTTCAGCATCAATGTATAATATGATATTGGATAATATGATCTAATATTTATATTATTCTATTCCTTCAATTTATTCCTCTCATATTTTTCATTTCTGTACTGCTCAATAGGAGAAAGCATGTGCACCAGAAGGCCATTAACTGCTTTATAATGAGGTAGTCTGCAACTAGTTAATTATCCTGCCTCATAGGGGCGACCAAAATGTAGGCAGTAACAGCGTGTCAAATGTCTCCCCTCGTCTTTCATGGAACTTTTTGATTTTTCCATTAATGAAGAATCCTGATGATTATAACATTTGAAAAATCTTCAAATACTGACACTGAATGTACTGTTAGTTTCATTCGTGTATAGTATGGGAATATGAATAGTATGCCCCGATGGCTTTGTATCGCATGGAGATGTTTAATCTGCTTAAAAATACTGACTGGTTAGCCTTGTCGGCATAGGTACAACACACATGTGCAACTTATTTGAGCAAACTTGTAGTTGTCTTCTGGCGCCTGCCTCTCAGTGATTTATACATCGATAGGCGTGTCGAGGATGAGGAAGGGGGTGGTCTCCTTGAGCGTGAACGACTCAAGTATTTTTTCAATCTAGGAGAAACTTCCTTGTTATCTAGCGGTTAAATAAATTACTGTTTGCTTCTTTAAAGAGATTTTTTTTTTTTTTTTTTTTTATTACGACCACTCCCGAATTTCTTAATTTTTCTCTCTATTTTCATTTGTACCGTAAAAATAAATGACTTCGCCTTGTTCACAATTCATTAACAAAGAATGTTATAATTCAGAAGTCTTCAATATTCCAATCATTATGCTCGCTTGAAAACTCCCATTAGTCATGTAGCGAATACGTAGAAATCGATGAGATTGGCTCGTCAGGCTTAATGTAATTGAATATGGGAAAGGGTCCTTCTCATCAACTGCACACGTACAACGCTCCATTCTTCTTCACTGTTAAATTCAAGCAGTCTATATAATTTTGCGTACTAGTAGAAAGAATATTGTATGTTTTAGGGTTTGAATAATTGAAAATAACTTGCTGTCATCAACTTTCAAATTTCACCAAGGTTCACTATAATAATCGTATGATTCATATTTTTAAAAAGATTCTATCCATTTTTATTTTCAATTATGAACAATGTAACACATACAAGCTCACATTGTATCAAACAAATGCTGACGTTGCATTCGTTAATTGAAATATTTTGTTTTTTTCATCAGTATACATAAAATTATAATTGTGAAAAAACATGGTTAGAAAATATAATATCATTTATTTTTTTGTCTGTTTTTGGCTAAGATAAAAACAAGAATAAAAAATGAAAGAACTACTGATGGAGTTATAATTATTGAGATGAGAGGGGCTCTTTGGTAAAGAGGCACTAATGGAAGAACTTGAAAATTTTTCCACAAAGTGACAAGTTATTATAACTGAAATTTTGTCTTCACTCTTTAGAAATTTCGAAAAGAATTATGTAGTAATTTTTTATATTAATGTGGTGACACGAGCACAGCCTATTGATTGAAACAATTGAAAGGAATATGAAGGAATTGAATAAATGCACTATGTGAAGTTTGATTCGAACCGCAGATTTAGAAAAAAAAAAAAAAACCCTCTGAATGATATCAAAAGGAATAACGATGAGATTGACTGAAATTAATTGGAAAAGGTAGAAGCTCGTGAATGTTTTCACGGTAATTATTTTAATGAATTGCTGTTCAAACTCCAATAATTGTTGCATACGCGACCATTGTATCTGAATGATAAAAATTGGATTTATTCCCATGCGATATTTCGAAGAACATATTTAACAACGTATGCAAACGCTGCGAAACCAACTATTATTGCTAAATTTGTCATAGCACCATTTAATGGACTTTGATCTCGTTGAAACTGTTCTCGAATCAAGGATGACATTTCCGATGTAGTCGATTGATGCCTTATTTGTTGATCCAATTCTTGCCGTCGCTCTAATTCATGGCGAATTTCCTAAAAATTATCATTCATCAGTCACATTAGAGCTAATGAAAGCTAGTACATTTTTAACATAACTTTTACTTTAATGCTCACCAATACTGTTTCTGGAAATAATTCACAAAACATTTTATCTCTCAAATTGAATTCTAAACTTTGATGTGCGTATTGCCGTTTCTCCCAATCAGTTGTGTTAATACTACCAAGCGTGGGACTTTTCTCTATCTGAAAATGGATAATAAGAGATTTGTCAGGGACTGTGCTAACTGCCTACTGCTTTCTTTTTAATTCTTAAGATCATGAGTAGCCTCTAGAAAAAAGAAAATTTCTTACCATAAAACTTAATAAACCAGCTAGAATTGTTGAAACACTCCATGCTGGATTCCATGTATCGGGATGAAAATCAGAAATAGATAGGCATAATCTAGTATTGACTTTGAATCTACCATTTGGTGTTGTCATATAGATGCTGGGTGGTAGGAAGGGAAATTCCCCAGGAAATATCAATTTCCCATGGTAAAAACCACCATTGTATGGTGTACTCTCTGGTCCTTTAACCACATAGTGCCTGCAGAATAAATTTTATAGAATATTTGTGAAATAATAAGTCATTTAATTATTGCATACCATTCGAGGATATTTGATGGATTTGGTTCAGCAATTATATATGGTACTGGATCTTTTTTCAGCCTCATATAATCCTGTCTTAGCCGTCGAGTAGCAGTGTTTGGTTTTCTAGTCATTTTCCTGGGTTAAATGACACCGAAGAAATTCTAAATCAACAAATCGTTGGAGCAAAATGATTTTTGGATTATTCATCATAATTTTAAACAGAGCAGTCATTTATGTATTAATTCTTTTTTTTATAATAACGACATGAACGTTTTTCACATATTATAAGAACATTAAGGAAAAACGAATGCATTTATTTCAAAAGCTATTTGAATTTCATATGATGTATTAATGTCTTACACCCACTACGTCTCTTCAACTATCAATTGTTGCAAGGTTAAGTAACGTCAGATGTTAGGCCTGGGATTTAGGAAAAAAAAAATCGACTAAGCAACAAAGTGCCACAATTGTGCTTTTTTCTGGTGAATGAAAATATTTCTCCTCATCCGGAGCATACGAATGTAAACAGATATCAGCCAGTAATTATTTTTTTCATTAGAAAAATTATGTGACAGGTATGATTGCTGATAGTTTCCGTTAAAACACTGTGAACAGACTGTAGATATTGATATACTAATCAACACTCTAGAATGAAAAATCGAGGCCGCGCGATCGTACGGATCAAAGAGGATTGACTGAAGTAGAGGCTCAGTTCTGGGGGTTTGAGTGACCCCAGCGGCATCGTAGTACTGCACCCCAAGAGAGGGAGGGCTCCACACGCAGTGCTGGGGTGTTTTTTTTTTATTAACAAAGTTTTTATTGCAATGCTGGGGTGTCCATCAAGTCGACGGGGCGAATTTTATTTTCTGCAGTATGAATGCTTTTTGTTTTTTATTTGTTTAACTGAAATTTAGCCGGCTGTAGAACGTGCGGAAGAGGGAAACCACATCTTGTGGAATTTCAATGGAAAAAATTATTCAATATATTGAAGATATACCACTAATGAAATTATTTTTTCACAATGAGCGCGTTGTCCTAGCGGTAACGTGCTTGCCTTTTTTAAGACTAGTTTTAATACTGACAATTGTAAATAGAGATGTGATATATAAATAACAACCATGTCGGATGGCCAAGTTTCGATCCCGCCATCATTCATTTTTTTTTTTTAAATAATTCCAATTTTTTCTTTTGTAAATGGCTAATCAATCGAAATATTGGTTAAAAACTGAATAGCTCCTCGATTTTCATGTTCCCCTGATACTTTTTCGAAAATTTCGAATTTTCAAATTTCAGTGAATAACTCCTCGATTGTCATGTTCCCCTGATACTTTTTCAAAAATTTCGAATTTTTCAATTTAAGTGAATACCTCCTCGATGGTCATGTTACCCTGATACCTTTTCAAAAATTTCGAATTTTTCACTTTCAGTGAAAAGAAAAAATTGGCATTATTTAAAAAAAAAAAAATGAATGATGCCGGGATTGAACCCGGGCCACCGGTGTGCCAGTCGAGCACGTTACCGCTAGGACAACGCGCTCACTAGTGGTATATTTTCAATATATTGAATAATTTTTTTCCATTGAAATTCCACAAGATGTGGTTTCCCCCTTCCGCACGTCCTACAGTCGGCTTAATTTCAGTTAAAAATATAAAAAACAAAAAGCATTCATGCCGCAGAAAATAAAATTCACCCCGTCGACTTGATCAACACCCCAGCATTGCATGTTGCGCCCTCCCTCTTTTGGGGTGCAGTACTACGATGCCCCTGGGGTCATTCAAACCCCCAGAACTGAGCCTCTACTTTAGTCAATCCTCTTTGGTGGCACCAGTGGTACACACAAGAAATCGAACAGTATGAGCAGTATGAATGAGCCTCTAGTAGTGTAATTCTCCTGGATCCTCCAAGCCCCAAGGTCCTTGGGTTATTGGTTAAAATAGAAACACTGCATAACAAGCAGTGGGTCAAGTGTTTCGATTCCCTTGGAAACATCAACTTTTCTATTCAAATTTTAAATTGTTTTTTTTTCTTTTTCACTTATTAAAGCATTCATCTGTTAGAGTGAACTTTTTCAAGAATGGCCGCACGCTCATTAGCAAGATATGCTCAATCGAGGGCAATTACACCCCAGATTCATCGGTGCGCCACATCGATGTCTGCGTTTGAAATTCAACACAGAACTCCAACAATCAAGAAGATCATGCCAATACCGAAGGCCCACTACGGTGGTCGTCATGCTGTGACACTTTTACCTGGGGCTGGAATCGGCCCTGAGCTAATGGGATACGTTAAAGAGGTAGATGAGTAAAGACTAATTTCTACCTCATCATAGATTTTTTTATTCTCCCGTTATCTTAATGATGAAGGAATTGATGTTAAAAATAATAAATAGGGAAATGCTTTGGCAGGTATTCAGTTACGCAGGAGTACCAGTGGACTTCGAGGACGTGGACATCGACCCAAATGCAGATGACAATGAAGATTTGGACTACGCCATCACCTCGATTCGTCGTAATGGTGTCGCCCTAAAAGGAAACATTGAGACTCGTTCCCGAGAGGCAGGAGTCCTGTCTCGTAACGTCGCTCTTCGTAATGAGCTCGATCTTTATGTCAATGTTCTCCACTATGTCTCGTATCCCGGTGTAAATTCTCGTCAGAAGAATATTGACATCGTGATGGTGCGCCAGAATACCGAAGGTGAATACGCTATGCTCGAGCACGAATCTGTGGACGGAGTCGTTGAGAGCATGAAGATCATCACTCGATCAAATTCTGAGAGAGTAGCTCGTTATGCATTTGAATACGCTAAACGTAATGGAAGAAAGAAAATAACGACAGTCCACAAAGCCAACATCATGAAGCTCTCCGACGGTCTCTTCCTTGAGACATCGAGACAAATTGCCAAGGAGTACCCCGACATTCAGCTTAACGATATGATCATCGACAACACTTGCATGCAGCTCGTCTCTAATCCCCACCAGTTTGACGTCATCCTGACGACAAATCTGTACGGTGCAATCGTCTCAAATGTTGTTTGTGGCCTTCTAGGGGGAGCTGGATTACTTGCTGGTAAAAACTACGGTGATCACTACACCATTTTCGAGCCAGCAACCCGTAACACAGGTGCAGCCATCGCTGGAAAGAACATTGCCAATCCCATTGCTATGCTCAATGCAGCTTGTGACATGTTGCGTCACCTTGGCCACAAGACTCATGCCACTGTCATCCAAACTGCCATTAACAAAACCATCAATGCTGGTGTCCACACCGCTGATCTTGGAGGTACTGCAACCAGCCGGGATGTCATCGACAGTGTTCTTAAGCACATCAAAATCGCAACCTCAGAATTTTAAACCTTGACAAACTAATATCGTTGCACTTGTTAGAAATCAATTGATATTTTTTCATATCTCATTAAAACAGTTCAGGATTGATCTTCTCAATTGAGCTTTTGGATAATTATCAAATTCAGGACTGCACAATTTTTTTCGATTTAGGTCTGCAGGTGATTCCCTCGTACTATTGTGCACTAGTATGACGATTGGTCGCTTCTTAAAAGTTAAGAAGTTTGGCGATTCAGACAGGGATGCTTTGTAATATATGCATTGTGATCAATTAGTAAAATTCTGCGATTTCTTTCTGTCATTGTAATTTCCCTGACTGATTAAACGACTTGTAATGTTATTGTAGTTTTTAATAGTATTATTATTATTATTATTATTGACATTATTCATGACAAATGGAGTGAGATGGGGAGGAAAGAAAATTTATTGATGATTGTAAGAAAATTCTTTTTTTTTCCCCTTTATTTTTTGGTCAAGTATATATTCACATGCTGATTCATATTTGTGTTTTTTTTTTTTTTTCAAATTTCATTTATAAATATCTTTCAACAAAGGATCTCATTTTAATTCCGCAACAACTCCAGAGCCAATTCCTCAGTAGCTAAAAGGTCACCCTTCTCTGTCACCTCGATCTTCGGTTTTTTATTTTTCTCCTTAGTCTTCTTCATTATCACTAATTTTCGTTTCGATGGCTTGTAAATTTTTTTCATTGCCTCGTCAGATTCTGTTTCATTAGATGGCGTTTTAATTCCATAGATTTTATCCGGATCTGGTAACCACGACAAATCGGCACCATCAGAATCGCTGTCATCAGTATTGTATGTTTCATCTCGAGATCCCACTGCTTCATCTTCATCCTCATTTTCACTCTGCTCCTTTTTCCTGTGAGCTTTCAATTTCCGCTTTTCCTCTCTGTGTTTCTCTCTTATTCTCTCCCGGAAGCGTTCTCTATCGAATTTATCCTCTTCATGAATTACTTTTTTCGCGAATTCAATATCTATACCTGAAGCTTCTTGGTTCTCGTACTCACGAGCCAATTCGGAGACTTTAGATTTTGCTGGATCGATTTTTTCTTCTCCCTTATGATCAAACGTTTTCTTCGTATTAGGCACAATTTTTTTCTTCATGAGCTTTTTAGCAACAGCAGCTTTTGTAAGTGCCTTGTTTTTTGATTTTCTCTGGTTTTGCACCAACCTCTTTTCTTCCACCTCCTGTTCTTCAATTTCTCCCTCAATCTCGATATTCATTCTCTTAATCGTGAGAATATCTTCTTCATCACTGTCCGCTATTCCGAACATTTCCGCTCTACTCCCCTTGCTGATCAGCCTCTGCTCCTCCTTATCATTTCCCGAATCATCATCATCATTATTATAATTACTGCTATAATCACGATTTATCATAAGTTTCCCATCAAAATCATCCAAACAATTTTTTTTCTTCTTCTGCTTCTCCTCATAATTCTTCTCGAGATTTGTTTGCAGTCGTTGAAGAAATCTGATTCTAGGGGGAATGGCAAGCCCCAGAGATTTTGCATAAGCATCAGTATTAAGTACATGAACATTGAAAATTTTCTTGTCCCTCATGTAATACACCGATTTGACATAGGCAACGAAAGCCCTCTGAGCAGTTTCTTTGAGAGCCAGATCTCTCACTAAAAGCGCCCCTAGCTTGATATGAGGTGAGTGCAATTTATTAGGATTTATTTTGATCTCGCTAATAGGAATCTTATGTTCCTGGAGTTTGTGAAGCATATTGAGTTCACTAGGAAGAAGAACGAGGATGGCTTCTCCTCCATTTCGGAATCTGGCAGTTCGTCCGACTCGATGAACGTAGGCATTAACGTCTTCTGGACAATCCATTTGCACCACCCAATTGACTCCAGGGAAGTCAAGGCCCCGGGCGGCTATGTCTGTTGCGAAGAGAACTGCGTTTTGTTTGTTGCAAAAGGCCTCATACACTCCAGTTCTCCTCATCTGGTGCAGACCCCCATAAAGTGCCATTAGGCTGATTCCTGGTCGCATTCTGCAGAGAACTTCGTATGTGTATTTCACTTGTTTGCAACTGGAAAAAAAAACAATAATCTTGTGCTTCAAGTGATTTTTGATAAAGGACCAGAGCATAGCCATCTTTTCCTCAAGATTAATAATCACATAACTCTGTTGGAGACCCTCAGGTGTCAAGTATTCCGCATACTCGTGTGCAGAAACATAGATTGGCTCTCTGAGGCTCAATCTGGCAAGATCTTTCACAGATTTCGTCTGAGTGGCAGAGAAGAGTAGTGTCTGCCTCTCAGCGGGTAAATTTTCAATAATTGCGTTAATCGTTTGTTCAAAACCCATGTCCAAGCACCTGTCAGCCTCGTCGAGGACCACGAGTTGGAGGTTATGAGTGTGGAACAATTTATTGCCGTCCATATGTTGTAAAATGCGCCCTGGAGTGCAGATGATTATGTTGTACTGATCCATCAGATTCTTTTCATGGTCCAAGTCTTTCCCTCCTATTATGAGACCAGCGGTAACCCTGTGATATTTTCCGACCTTCTTCAGGGTCTCAAAGATCTGGTAGGCTAGCTCTCGAGTTGGTGTAATTATCAGAGCACCAAGGCCGAGCTCCCGGCTCCACTGTTGACAGTATAATAATTCTATCACTGGTATGAGAAACGCCAGTGTTTTTCCACTTCCAGTTTTGGCAGCTCCCAGAATATCATTTCCCTTGAGAGCTAATCCAATACTCTGCTTCTGAATGTCCGTTGGCTCAATGAAATTGTGTTCTTTGAGGGCTTTTAGCAGCTTGGATGACAGAGGAAAGTCCTCAAAATTTTTAATATTCGATTCATCGATCTGGAATAAACATTAATTAATTAATAATTGATAATGAAGATTTAAAAAAAGGAGGTCATCTCATTACATCGAAAACAAATCGTTTGGGTTGAGTTGGGGTTGAGTTGGGGTTACCATCAACTCACATTCTCATAACGAGCTCGAAGTTCCTCGATTATTTTATTCTCCGGTATCTTGTGCCTCTTCCTAAACAACTTGACTTTTGCTGGTCCCTGTTCCTTCTTGTTCTTAATTTTATTGTATCCCATTTTCGATTCTCCTGATGAATTCGCTGAACTCTAATGTTGTTTTGAAAATGTTACAGTTGAGGTTATACTAGCACTCGTTTTTGACTTATTCATTCGCGCATGCTCCAAGTGAATGCGTCAATTAAATAATCAGCGGTAAGTTAGTTAGAAAATTCAAATGTTCGATGATAACATAGTTAACATTATTCTACAAGCGGCTACATTTTGATATACCTTAAATAAATGATTGTTTCAACAGAATTTCGATTGTGCAAAAAATAAAAAAAAATCACCCACTTAAAAATTTTTCCAATTTTTTCAAAAAATTTTTCACAAAAATTTTCAAATAAATTTTGAAAATTCACTTTTGGGGTGCTGTGGGATGCATTCATTCCTGCTCCCACTGAATCTTTTTTTTTTCAAAAATTGTTTTGCAAATGTCTTCGAATTATCGATACTCTCGGACTCGCGCTCTGCCTTATCTATACACGGGCTCCAAAAATTATCGACACTCTCGGGCTTGTGACCTGTGAGCAAAACAGTTACTCACAGGTACGGGCCCCCACCATGTTGACGGTTTTGTACAGGCGCTGACAATCTCCCCTATAACCTCTGGCAGCATTCTTGTGTAATCCTCGTGAATCTAAAAAAATTTCTTACTCAAGCGTTACACCTACAATATCCTTGGAAAAATGGCACCAAAAAAAAAAAAAAAACGAAAAAAATCCTCGCCGAAATGGAGATTGATTCATCAAGTGTGATCAGCTCTACGACATGATGAAAGCTCGAATAGACTACTTCGCTCTATGCCACTCAAAACAATTGTATATATTTTCTATCTGCGGAATTGGGAAAAGGAATCTTTGTATGATAAATGATTTATCAATGAGGTGTTGTATTAAACGTGGTGGTTCCGTGGTGTAGCGGTTATCACGTCTGCTTTACACGCAGAAGGTCGCCAGTTCGATCCCGGCCGGAACCACATTTTTTTTGTCGTGATTTTTTTTTTTTTTCATATTAATAGCTCTTTATATTATAAAAGAAATCAACGGAACCTAATGGAGAAGCTCTCAAATCATGAGGATTATGTTTGAATTTGATGGAATAAAAGACGATAAATAAAAAGCAATGTTTTCTTAAAACTTAATTTTTACTATTATGGATAAATAAAAATAAAATAAAATTTAAAAAGATAGGGTGAAAACAGCCTAGAATATGTTGTCAGTGGTGAGTGCTGAAGAATCCCACTGGTGTCAAATTCTTCATGGGTGAATCGTGGGAAATGACAGTTGGGCTCTTGTCGCCGTGGTCGACGGTTCATATATAGAGAATTCCACCCGCCCTTTCTAAATTGAGAAGAAAACTCGAGTGACAATACGGCTATCTCTTCCCATTTCTCTTACCTATTTGGCAAATCATTGACTCCATCCCCTTTGTATTTTTATTCAACACCCAGTATTCCCAATTTTTCATCAATTTTAGTTGATGGAAAATGAACTTTTTCTTTCACTAGTGAATAATATTTTATTCAATTGTAGGAAGAAAAAATCCAGAGCGTCCCTTAACTCAAGTGTCTGACGTGATTGAACCCGCTGTAAGAGATAAAAGGTTTCCCTGTTTAACAAAATAGCGCTTCTAAGCCATTAGCCCGACCGCTGCCTTTTCCCCCTTGTTGAGATATTTCTTTTTTTCCACTTCACCACTAAGAAGAATAAAACTGCTTATGAATTTGAGTGATTTACTCGATTTATATATTTGTATATTTGAATGATGTTGATAATTGAAATTCTCATTGTAAAATCTCAATTGTCTCAATTTTAAGATTCAAGAGAAGAAGTTATTCATTCTACAAGATCATGTCGAGAACAATTCTGTGTGAATCTGCCACAGTTTCCTCTACGCATATTCATATTAGTATTGCGATGAATATGTTAATAAATTAATAAATGATTAAATATTAAAAAATTTATGATGGTCGGCTCGTTTAGATTATCATCGCAATCGTATTTCATAAATAACGGGTTAATTTAATATAACGTAGTAGCACTACTATGGGGTAGTAATGATAATGCTGAATGAATTTTATTGAAAAATAATTGTTTTCTCGCACAAAGTAGCATCTCGTCCGTTAAGCTCACCATAATCAGAGTTATTTCAAACGAGTAGGAGAGTATAAGGAGTCATCTGGTACGGAGCGCTAAATTGAGAGATTCAAGATGAAGAAGGCGAAGAGTGAGAAATAAAGTTGAAAGTAGGTAGGTAGGTAGTAGCAGCCCCATCGAGTTGACTTTAGCGAGTGTATCTGGCCGTTCACTCCGGCGATCGAGCAATCCAAACTCACATTACACACACCAGCCCTATCCAGCTGTATCCGAGAGGGTTGCAACACATAAACATACCCTTAATTCTCACCAATTGCAAACTCCTTCCGAGGGCTATCGGCAAGCTCAATGCCCCGCCCAACGACCAATCGAGCTTCGTCGACAGTGTCTTCACCGGGCTAAAAGCTCTACGCGTATCTATCCTTTATCGCCATTGGGCGTCACCTGGGCTTCAACTCCCCAGTGCCCCTATCCGTGATCTGGATCAAGGCGACCCCGAGGCCGTACAAGGAAACCAGAAAATTATCAAACCATAGATCACAACACAACCGAACCAACCACCTCGGATTATCTATTTTGCTATTGTTTCGACAGTATTGTTAATCCTTTCAATCAATCCATTATTTATTTATTTTTTTTCATCAAACATTTTTCGGTAGTCTTTCTTAACAACTTTGTGCAAGTGGGAGCGTATTACTATAAGGTACGAGCACTCTCTTTTTCCATTTTATTTTTATTTTTGTATTTTGTGTAATTAATTATTAATTAGTAATTTTGAATAAAAAGCGTCCTCATTCGAGAGAGGTGATTAGTGAAAAAGTGAGGTGAGATAGGTTGAGTTACCGTTTTTCAATTAATTCTATGTAATTGATTCAATTTGTGCGGGTGAATCAGTACTCATGCATTGTGTTGTGCTATGTATTGTTATTGGTAATATTAATATTATTTATTAATCATCATCGGAATTTAGGTTTAGTTTTAGTTTGAGATAGAATTAAAAGCGGGCATTGTGGAACCTTGTGAAGAGTCACGTGTGACACGCGTACGTGATTAGTGATTAGTGACCCTATAATCGAGTGCAGTACACCTGTAAAACCACTTTTCCGGTGTATCCACGACTCTGGCGATTGGTGTAAAGGGCAGTACCCTATTATTACGGTATCACTGCATAATTTACGCATATGGTACTTGCATATGTTAGGTATTTAGCTTTTAACAACTCGCCACAATTTTTTTTGCCTCAGACGAACAAAAATTAATAAATTTATCGTATAATCGTGTAGCGTCTTTTACATGATAAATATATAAATACTGTTGTTCCATCTATTGAGTATTGGACCAGCTTATTGGTGATGGATAATATATTGAAAGGGTTAAGAAAAGTTGGAAAGACAATCGCTAAGTTATGGTCTGTGCGGAAAGCCCCGACAAAAGTAAAATGATAAGGTTTACGGTCACGCAATCACAGCTATATAGGCGTGTGAAGTGAACACGTGCTTGCTGGTGTCCCAACACAACACCAGTGGATAAGATATAAAGCTTGATGGAGTCAAATTAAAAATCAAGTTGTAATGCATATATTTAACATTGCCGTATCATTTAATGATATCTCCAATTGTAAAGGTCCCAGAGAAATCATCGATATCCAGGTGATTATTACTCAGCACTGAATTTGATGCGGTTCTTTTGCGGCCCAGACATTTCCCACAGCCGACAACAAAAAAGGCATGTGTTTTTTTTCTCAATGAATTTCTCTATAAAAATTCGCCGAGTAATTTTCTCCTCATAATAGAAGAAAAAAAAAAAGAAAAAAGAAAAAAATACGTCAATGGGTTATTTTTTTCCGTGACAAATTTCATGTTTTTCATAATGATTTTCCATAATGCTCGAAAAGTCAATGAATCTCAAATTGATCTGGAAATTTTTCTATAAAAATGCAAGGATATCAACATTTATTTATCAAATTGTTAAAGCAGAGGATCAGAATTTTTAATGCGAAAAAATGCAGGTGACATGACTGGGGAAAAAATAGGATGAGAATTAGCATAAAAAATGGGACAAAAGGGAGCGATACCTTCATTTTTTAGGCCCTCGAGTTTTCGACAGCCAGCAGCCCGTCGCGTACCCAATAGTCATTCGATTGACATTAGCCCCAAGGTTTCTGGTGACATCGCGGTGGTTTCAAAGTGGTGCAAGGACTTTTAGTCACTTGAGTTGTTATTGAAGCGAACGGTGATCGATGGGTTTGCATTATTTAAGCTTTGATATTTGACATTCTGCATTTTATTATTGAAAGTAGCTCAATAATGGCAATGCCCTAATATGAAATGGGCGTTTGTTTTGCCAGTATAGATCTTATTTGATCGTTGAAATTTTCATGATATATAAAATAAGATAAATAAGTATCTAGACATGCTCCACGATGCTTCGTTAACAATAAACGATAAAAAATACAATGATTTGTTGTTGAAAAGACAGTTGATTGGAGTAATTCTGCAATATTACGGAGAAACGATATGAATGACGATATCATCAAGAGTCAATAAAAGGCTGAAGTTTGATTTAACGACATGAAAATAGTTTTGACTGTCGATAATTTGTTTTGTCATGCCGTCACGGTGTTCCACCCTCGATTTCTCAGCCCCCTCGACCTCCGGAGTCTCGATTTCTTCGACATATGGTTTGGTTGTCAGTCAGGCGTGTCATGCACGTATGTAGCTCAGCCCAATGGGGTTAAATAATTCGACACCCGCTCTTTCTAAATACAATGTGTTATTTCAATAGCAGTTTCAACGGCATATTAACTACCTCAACCCACTTGTCCATTCATCTTCGAGAGTCAGTTATAGTTGAATAACTTATCTTTAATATTTACGAGATTGACCATAATGGACAATATTGTGACGTTAGCACCGATAATGAATATAAAGACAGCGGTAATGAAAGGATAGAAAAAGTGGTTGGGTTGTAGTGGTTGGAGGTTGAAAGTGCGTGGGGTACGAATTGTCGACGGTTCGAGCTTCGTCTCTGGCTCTGGCTCTGGCTGCGGCTGCGGCTGCGGCTGCGGCTGTGTTTGCCACTGCGACTCTGGCTTCGTGTCGGAGCTGCTGCATTATTGAGCCTGAGAAAAGAGCAGGTGGAAAAAGCCTCGGGGGCCTCCTATTAGCGATAGGGTTAGAGAGGGAGAGCAATTTCAGGAACGCCCTGAGGGTGAACGCGCGTGCCAGGGCGCTAGTCTTTCCTCTTCAATGGCACAAAAAAACCTTGGAAAAGTCATTTGATGGGTGGTTACCTTGAGAAGGGTTAACAACTTCTCTTTTATTCCTAATTTGTTGCCATAGAATGAAAAATAATGTTCCAACATGTTTTTTCATGACTCATCAAAGTAATTTTTAAAATTGACAATGAAAAAACAATTATGTATTTAAAAGTATATTTCATTGGATTGCTAATTCATTAGCAAACAAAATGTAATTGGTTGTTAAATTGAAAAAATGTTAAAGTCAACGGAAAAATCGTAATTACACCCCATGGAATCGATGGACAATAGTGTACCGACAATATGGAGAATGAAGTACAGTTATGGATCGAAGTTTCGTAGGGTTTGAGCAATTGTGTAGCTAGGCTGAACATCAACCTCACGATTATCTTCATACAACATGCACACTGAGTAGAACCAAGTGGTGGCAATGGTGGTAAAGCCAAATGGCCACTTTCCACCATCTTATAGCCACTCGCTGTTAAATTTTCATGCCCAGTTTATTGAATTATGTGCTCGAACTATTGAAAACTCGATATTAAATATATTTATAAAAAATTTATATTTTAAATTTTATCTTTTATATTCTCCATTACTTTTGTGGAGAAGAATTATATATTATCAACGAGTCGATGAAATCGATAGTTTTAGGACGAGTTACTTGGCTGGATGAAAATGGAGGAACAGAATCGAGATTCGACTTTATGCAAAGTATGTGGGGATAAGGCATCGGGGAAACATTATGGTGTGCCGAGCTGCGATGGATGCAGAGGATTTTTCAAGAGATCTATTCGGCGACATGCGAGGTATAATATTTTGGCATTGTACATTATTGTGTATTGTATAGCACTTGATGATATAATTTGATAATGATAGCTTGATAATTTTCTAATGAATATTTTTAAAATGTTAATTACGCCAGAAATTTAGATTATGTCTGCAAAGAGAACGGCCAGTGCATAGTGGACGTCTCTCGGCGAAACCAGTGTCAAGCCTGTCGTTTTGCTAAATGTCTAGAAGTGAATATGAAGCGAGATGGTAAGAGATCTTCCTATTCTCCCAACCCCTAAATATGAATTACCACAAAAAATGGGCTAGGAATCACTCCCGACTTGTTCGTCATCTTGAATAAATACAGTACAATGCATCACTTCTCGCTACTGTGGTGCATGAGAGATGAGGGGCTGTAGTAGTTGAAAAAATAAGAAAAAAAATCTCCACCCACATGAAATGAAATGAAATGAAATGAAAGGCCGAATGGCTTGGTTCTTCGGTGTGTCATGAGCAGGCTTGAGTTCACAGCTTTTGTAAACACCAGCAGTCTCTCAATTCACTCCAAGGGAGGGAGCACTCAACAACTCGGGTGATAATCCAAACACTTGATTGAGACGAGATACCAATTAGCTTGAATGATATTGCGGATAGAATTTCACTATCGAGAACAAATAAAGTCTCGTGAGTTTATCACAAATTACGTCGATCGCTTTTATATAAATATTTCATAATAATATTGTTAAATTATTTCTCCGAAACTCTCCGCTACTCCAATAGCAGGTGTGTGTGGGTTTTATAAAAAATCAATAGAATTTTCTTGTCATGTCAGGTGAATAAATTTTTGAATGGTAGAAATGTCATTTCTCTTTTTCGATAACAAGTGGATGTGTGGCATAAAATGCGGAGGCGAAATTTTTTTACAAATAAATGTGGGACAGGGTTGGGTATTGGGTAATGGATGCTCCAAGGGATTTCGAAGGAAGTGTCATTTTCAGCGGTACAACACGAGAGAGCTCCGAGAAGTACTTCGTCGTTGGTTAGTGCAGTGAGAAGAGCACCCTCGGCGATATATCCGGCTGTATCACACGTCTACCACACCACTGCCACTCCAGCCTACCATCCCTTACTCTATTCAGGGCTCTTTCCATTCAAGCCGACAGTAACAACTTTTACTCCTGCCCTTCGTAAGTACACTCTTTTTTTTTTTTTTATTATTATATATTCTAGTACTTTTTTTTCAATGGTGGTCCCTTAACTTTAGCCCACTTTTTGCACCGGCCCACGCCGGAACCTCTGGCCACTGCCGCCGCTGCCGCCGCTGCCACCGCTGCCGCCGCCGTCGCCAAGGAGGACGAGGTGACAAGCTCTGAGGAGGCTAACAGTATTCGCCCTTGTGAACAACAAAAAGGTTTATCTTGACAAAACTCATTTGATAAATATAATGTTTTAATAATAAATAATCAATTAACAGATACAGTCGGCTGCTTCAGGAGTTCCCTTCGACTAGCTCCACTCCCAGGAATCGCCACAACATTAACAGAATACAGTGTCTCTACTCAACCACTTCTACCCCCTGAAAATGTTTATGAATCAGCCGCGAAGCTTCTATTCCTCGCTGTCAAATGGGCTCGGAGTATTCCATCATTTTTAGAGGTAATAGTGCAATTAGATATATTTGAATTATCATAATTTATATTAAATTAAACATAAAAAAATACATAAAATGCAATGATCTACTTATTTTAAGTTATCATTCAGAGATCAGGCTATTCTTCTCGAAGAATCGTGGAGCGAATTATTCGTGCTGACAGCAGCCCAATGGAATTTTACCATGGAGGAATCACTGTCAGTGTCCTTAATGCTTCTTCCAACCGAGAGGCAGCAACTCATAGCTGAAGAACTTAGGAGGCTTCGAGAATTACTAGCAAAATTCACCATCATGCGGGTTGATCATTCTGAGTATGCTTGTTTGAAGGCCATTGCCTTATTCAAAGGAGGTACATATTGTACACATTGTATAAACATTTTTTATATTGTATCGATATGCTTGACGACACGAGAAAAATTTACCTGCATTTTTTCAGAGTCCAGAGGCCTGTGTGATTCAGGTCGGGTTTCTGCCCTTCAAGAGCAAACAGTGACCGTATTGGGGGAGCGTGGAGCCGGTAGAGTGGGTCGGCTTCTGCTCCTGTTACCCCCGGCACGAGCTCTCTGTCGTGGAACCTTGCAGGAATTGCTCTTTAAACCAACAGTCGGTGATGTCAGTGTCGAGAGACTTCTCGGAGATATGGTTCGAGCAACCAGGCCCTCATAACCCACATCCACCAACACCATTGTCAAGTTTTTATTTTTTTTTTTTTTATTAAATAGTAACATGGCAGCATCACATGTCACATCAATAATATAAAAATATTATAAACCATAATATTATCATTTTGAACACAGTCAAATTGACTACTTCTTCATGATGGACACACATACCGCAAAGCAATTTTTTTGTTTTTTTTTTTTTTTTTTATCCAATGGATGAGTCGATAAATTGTTATTAGTTTATATATTTCATATCGCAGAGTCTACTTTTTTCTAGTTTTTAATATTAATTTTGTTTTCTTAAAGTTTATTATTGAGCTCGTGCATTACTCTGACCAAGATATTGCACTGTAAATAGTTTTAATGGTTATCAGAGTAATTAAATTGTTGTTGTAATAAACCATACAGCTATGTAAATCAATTAATCACTTACACCATAATGATGAAATACAGAAACCAATACTTACATCATCCTGTTACTGAGAAATGTATGATTTTTTAAATCCATCTAGAATGTATTTCTCTTCCCTGTCCCCTGAGACTTGAATAAATTAAATGTTATTTCCATGTCTGTTATTGTTTTTCACCCGATTAAACAAATAAATTGATTTATTCAATAGATAATTTTTTTCACAGCCATTTTTATTCTATTCTACTTGATCAACAAAAAATGAAATAAGGAAAAAGTAAGTAATAATGGAGAATCATAAATCATTGTATTATACTAGGACCGCGAATGTTTTATAATAATGATAATTGGTGTTTCGATAGTCCTTCAATGAAAAAAAAAAGGATGGACTGTAAAGTTCCATGGCGGAGAGTCCTTATATAAAAAGGAGAGCATAATGGCTACCTTTGATAGGTTCGTTGATATATACAAATGAAAGAGACTGCGATAATATCGAAATTCAATATCAATTTAAATCGATTCATATCGACTCAAATCCAAATGGAATAATATTTGACACTATCAAAATGTGAATTTCGAGATGCTGCAGGGCGCCTTTGAAAGAGTCGGCCCTATTTCCGTGGGTTTATAAAGGCGGGACGAAATTTGATTTTCTGTTTGGAAAATTTTAAGCATGCAAAATACAAGGTAATTGGTCTCCATGAGTCGACCTTACTCAATTTAGTCAATTCAGTTATGACTAACTATCGAAACATCAATCATCATTTTAAAAAACATTTGAAAATGGGAACTTGATTAAATTCGCTAAAAGTCGCTAAAAATTCGTCTTTAAAAAGTATTATGGGCCGTGAGCGGAAGGATGCATTCTCAAGTGAACGTTCATGACGGTGGGGTATTTGGATTTATACGTATTTGGATCGATTTTAATAGATCGACTTTCTTCAATTCGATTTTTGAGCACTAAACATTATGCTCCCCTTTATATATATGAGGAAAGGGCAGGTATGACAACATGTAGTGGATAAATGAATGAAAAGAGTAAAAATTGTAAAACACGAATATATTTCTTCTTCTTCATGTACAGATGGGGTGTAATGCGTGGATTTTAATGAGGTATGATTAATTCTGCAGCTATGAGAGAAAAAATATGCGAGGTAGTTTAAGCTGTGAACGCGTTTCATCATTATTCTTCATTAATAAATGTTAAAACGCCATTATATTTCCATTTACTATTGAAACTATTGCACTTGTGTGTATATTTCTCTGCTTTCACATTGTCGCGGCACATATTGTTAAATATTTCAATGAAATATCGAAACAAAAAATTGTTTCAACGATTCTTTCAGTTTATTCGTTACAATTGTGAGTTGTATTTGCGCTGAGAAGAAATACTGTAGGCTGTATTATTTATGGTTGCATACATATAAGTGAATGGGTTTTTTTTTTCTTTTCTGTTAAACGCGTTTTATTTTTTGTTTTTGTAATTTTTTTTTTTGACGGGTTTTATCCAACACTTTTTTTTTTCTTGCCCGCACTCGCACAGACGAGACGAGATATCGACAAAATATATTTTTAATTTAGCTTTCGCAGGATTGAATTTAATTGAGGAACACAAATAGAAAAGTCAAAAATTAATTTTTTTTTGCTTTTCTTGTTTTTTGCTTTCATTTTTAGAATTTGTTTGCGCGCACACCGAATTCTATAGCTAAATATACAGAGCAATTTTTACGTTCACGTATTCATTATTAAAACCATTTCTTTTTTCAATTAATTTTGATTGTAGCAGTAGCTGTTTCTCCACATGAAGTTTTCGAGAATAAAATAATTTCGTTAATTTGGAAATTTTTATAAATTTTTCATTCTAGTAATTATTTTGTCTTCTTTGTTTCGTAAAAATTTTTGCTGTCTTTTAAAAATGAGAAAAAGTATTTAGCGGAAAAATTTTTGGCACCTGGAGGAAAGCCTGTGCTACTCAGCCATTTAGCCAGCCTTAATGCCTATTTCTGGCTTTTAAACGCCTATGTATTTTTCATTTGTAATTCTTAATGATTATATTTATGATTTAAACATTATTCACTAAAAAACCCCGTTAATTTTTCATGTATCCTTTCATTATTCGTAGGTAATGGAAATATTTATTCCGATAGTTTCCTCAATTTTGGATTTCATCGAAGTATTCAAAAGAAAAATCACCGTTACACATAAATATATATTATTAAGAGAATGAATGCAATGCACAAATGTAATTTCCTTTAGAACACATTGGACATCTGTTTCGTTAATTATTAACTAATTTTTCCACGCGTCTATTCGCAGTACCACGCGATGTAGTTGACCCCCCCCCCCCCCCGTCGTCAGAGGTTTTATTTTTTTTCCATTATTTTTCGACAATTGGAAAAAGTTTATCCGGATTCTTTGTCTCATTATCTTCTAAAGTTTTGTTATTAGAATTCAATCCAGTATTTTAGTAATTGAAATATACTTAAAAAAGTCGAGAAAAAAAAAACATTTAATTAATTATGAAGCAACAAAAGTATTGGAATTGATGATCGTAAAAAGAAAATATTAAATGAAACTGGGACATTGACACCGGATTGTCTTTTTCTCTTAAACATTAACCATAATCACCATTATATGAGTATGACTATATCAGATTGGTCGTTTGAAGTAACTTTGATCTGAAGTATGCTAATCCCAAAGCGAAACAAATAAAATGAAATAAGGAAAAAAGAAACCATAGCAATTGCGAAGCAGGGTACAAGCGCGGAGGTGTGTCTCCGTCGGCAGTGCGCCATTTCTCTAATTAAAAGAAAAAAATTAAAAAAAAAAGTATATAAAAAAAAATTGATTAAGCATCGTTACGTTTATGAATAAATGATTAATTTTTTTGTGGGCTCCGCGGCGTCGTACCGGCTGATGACCCTTCATTATTTTAAAAATTATTATCTTGTATTCCGTGTGCATGCAATCATCGTTATACACTTTTTCATTCAATGAAATCTGTGATTCAGTGGTGAATTTCTAAAAATCAAGTAATTGAAATCAAGGTGTGATTATGTTGAAGATGAGAGACCAGAGGAAGATGTCACGAGATATAAAATCTCTTGACATTTTTCACGGGTCCAACTCGTTACGATTCACCACTTGAACACAACATTCACCAAAATCGTCCAGACTATGGGCTGGAGCGAATTATCATTTTTTTCTTGTCTGATTAATTTAATATACGAATCAATTTGACATCGTTATCGTGTCTGTAACGGTCTCCAGTGCATGATTTTTTTTTTTTTTCGATTTTGATCCATTTTTGATCACCGAAAAAATACAAATTCCTTCGGAATTCAATATTTTTGTAATGATTTCGTTGGAGGGCCGGTACATTGCGCGATAACAGATGAATATAATTCTGTGATCTCGTCTCGTTTTCCGATTTAATCACAATATACAATTAATCAATTAATAATTAATAAAATATACAAGTTTTTTACGGGAAAAAATTGTTCGTATAAAATTAATGAAATATTTTTAATTTCCCCTAAATGCGTGCTTCAAAATGATCAGTTTTTTACAGTAACACCTGTAACGTTTCGTTATTCGATGGAAATATTTTATCGGATTAAAAAATTTATTGATAGCAATAAACAACTGTGTAACGTTGGGAGAGGAACTGAGAACACGACTGCTAAGGGAATTAATAGTTAATGAATAAACCATTAGCGTCTGCATAAAAAATTGTGGATCAATTCAACAAAGAACAAAATAAAGGTTAAATTGTATGACATGCAAGATTGAAAGAATCCTATTCCAGAATTATTTCTCTATTTCTATTTTTCTTTTAACTATTTTTTAATTCCTAAAAAAATGAAACTTAAACCAACCACCGGAGGGTTTATCCTCCGAATGAAAACTCGTCACTGCACCAACTAACACAATTTAATTCACTGGATCATTCTAAGATAAAGACCTGAACTTGATAAAATGAAATGGTGACTAAAAAAATGAAGTGAATTGCCCCTTCAATCACCAATAAGTTGAATTATTTTCATCAGACCTGCAGAAGGGAGCCGCGATTGCTTTCAAATTTCTATATATTGTCAAGCGACTAATGATTTAAGGAGATTTATTCTGCCCACTACACTTTCCCCAATTTCATTCAAACACATTTTTTTCTTTCCTCTCGAGATCGAGTTACTTCAGGGAAAAAAATGTCTCACTATTTTTTTCTCTAGAATCGATATTTTTCAGGATAGCTCGATTAGAAAAAAAAGTGAAAAGTCAATCAATTCATCGTTTTTACCGTTCTTATCTCTGAACAACCACTAATTCTATCACTTTCGTCAATGACTTCGTATAAAAAAAAAAAAAAAAAGAAAATTGTAATTCCTGAGGTAGTGGACGAGTTTGGGTAAACATTTATAATGACTTTTTCTTAAGTCCGACTTAACCATACCAATATAATCGACAATTTCCGAATTCCACATCACGAAATTTTTTGGGTTTCAGTATTTACTACAATTAATCCTCCCTCAATCATTAAAACTTGAAAAGAACATCGAGATAAAAATGATAATGGTGTGTTCACACGTGCATCTGAT